AGCCGAGTCGATATAGCCATGTCCGTCTGTCCGTCCGTCCGTCCGTCTGTCCGTCTCGATGAGCGCCTGGATCTCAAAGACTATAAGAGCTAGAGAAACCAAATTTGGTTTCCAGACTCATGTGATTTCACACTGCTACAAGTGAATTTCAAAATTTCGCCCCGCCCCCTTCCGCCAAAACAAAGGACGAAAATCTGTGGCAGGTACAGTTTTAAAGATACGATAGAAAGAAAGCTTTTAGAAGTTCTTGCGTTTATCTCATAATTTTGCCAAACATCATTTAAATTATAAACGTGCGTGGTGACAAGTATACAATATTCGTATTATGTAATTAAAATGAGTTCAAATGCAGACAAAGCAAAAAAAATTTCGTGCAGATTTGAAAAATAATAATGAAAAACTTTTGGAGTATAAAATTAAAAAGGCAGAAAGAAAGCGAGCATATCGTGAGAAAATTAAAGAGCAGTTAAATAACATTCTGTCACAGGCAAAAAAAAAACAAAAAACTGAGAATAGACAACGCGTGACCAAATTTAGAGAGGCACATAAGCAAAAGGCAACAACAAAAGTAAACAATGACGAGCCTTATAATTCCGCCCAGACTTTGGAAAAAGCTGTAAAAAGGGTGGCTATTGCGCTACCCAAAAGTATCAATAAGAAATAAAAAAATACCTTGGCAAAGAAAAAAACTAAAGTGCACCACAAACAAAAGCTGATGATTATGTCAATCTAATTCAAGAATATTACAAACGCGATAAGATTTCGGTGCAATCTGCTTGTAGAAAAGCAACAATATTAGCTGGAGCTAATCAGCTTCCAGTTTATAAGCGATATATGCTACTCACTGTGAATCAGGCGTATGACCCGTTTCAACATGAGTTTCTGGAGAGACATATTTCTAGACATAAGCTCTACGAAAACCGTCCAATATAAGTTGAGCTGACTGAAAAAATACCTCATTAAATGTGCGTGTGTCAATATCACGCAAACATAGCTTTCTTATTAGAAAGTTTTGTTAAGATAGTTCCAACGTTTCCATCAAACTTTGATAATTTTTTAAAGGAAACTTACTGTAACGTTGACAGTGAAATCTGTATGACCAGCGAGTGTGAAAAATGTGTGATTAACATTGTAGATATTGTACCATTGCTGTATGTTAATCACATGGACAAAACTGCCGCTTGGAAGCATTGGAGAATGGTAAACAACAGGATGGTACTATGCAACACCGAAGGATCGGTAAAAGAATTAATGTATGAGCTTACGGCAAAGCTTCCTGCCTTTAAGCTGCATTCATACAATAAACGTTCGCAGCAAAGCTATTTTAATGCCTCAAAGATGCAAATACAACCTAATGATTTAATATTGCAAGTTGATATTGCAGAAAATTACAGAATTTTGTCGCAAAATGAGATTCAATCTGCTCATTTCAGTTACTCACAAGTATCTTTGTTTACATGCGTTGCTTGGTTCAACAATTGCGCCAAGTCCTATTGCATTTTAAGTGATGAGCTGTCGCACAATAAAAATTCTTTTTACTGCTTTATTAAATTATTAATTAAAAAAATCAGAAAGCTTCATTCTTTCAATAGAATGCAAATATTTTCTGATGGCTGCAGAAGTCAATTTAAAAATAAGTACATTTTGAGAAACATTCCACAATTCGTAAAAGAATTTGATGTGAGCTGTTTCGATTGGAATTTTTTCGCTACTTCTCATGGAAAAGGAGCGGTGGACGGTGTTGGCACAGTTGTTAAGCGAAAAGTTTGGCAACTAGTAAAAGCCCAAAATCTTATTTTAAAAATTGCTCTAGATTTTCACAAATTAGCAAAAAAATATATTACTGATGCTTCCTTAATTTACGTTGGCAAAAATTATGTGAAAACTACATCTGACAAAATATCAAAAACATGGATAAAAAGTATTCCATCTATTAATTCAAATCATTATTTTCTGGCTTTTCCAATGACAATTCTTTAAAAGTAGCTCGAACAGCTGGATCTATAAAGTATACCATGTTAAAATAAAATATATATAAACTTATATAAGAGTAAGGAAATATTGTATACTTTTTTTGTAGGTAATAAATAAATAATAACAAGGTTAAAAAGATGTTTAAATACATTAATATTTTTTATTTACAAAATTTGACTTGATGGAAAAAGTGTAACGTCCGTAACGTAATGTCAGTAACAGACAAAAAATACGATTTCTTTTCAAGGGACTACTAATGCTTATGTTCTTTGGTGGATTAATATTGTCTTATATACCACTTAATTTGTTGTATGTGAATTTTTTTTTTTTTATTATGCATGCTGCCTCAAAGTCGACTTCCATTTTTTGTAACGTCCGTAACGGAACTCTACGCAAGCATCATTTTTTTCAAGAACAGTTAACCTTATTTAAATATAAGTTTAAAAGATCATCTGCTTACGGAAGTTACATTCGTACGCAAATTTACTTGTTCGAATTGACACAGCTGGCGTTCACATTGGTACATTTTCATAAAATGCAGTTCTTTGCATTTCGTAAAAATTTTATGAAAATATACCAATGTGAACGCCAGCCGTGTCAATTTGAACAAGTAAATTTGCGTACAATGTAACTTCCGTAAACTAGATTTGTTCCCATATATATTATTACATATATATATTACAATATACATTAATATTATTTAACACAAATACAAAATTGATTTGCGTTGCAAAAATAATATACATATATTTATATCATATATGATTATGATATACATATAAGGACAAATAGTTAGGTACGAAATTAGTCTATGCTGATTTTAGTGTAATACTCGCGCATCAAATTTAAATCATTTGTCGACATCTCGACTCCTTATTCGCTAAGAAGGAATAAAAAAGGTTGCACATCGCACTATGAATACCCTGTTGAACAATTCTTCGACCGTGAAGTCAATTATGACATACAACCGTAGTCATATAAATAGCACAAAAAAATATTCAATTTATGGAATGCTTTTATTAATTAAAAAAAAGTTTTTGAAAATAAAACTTATTTGGCTCTTCATAGCTTAACTTATTAACTAATTAATTCGTAAAGAAAAATTTATAAATGTTTTGAAACAAAAGAGATAAAAATTAAAAAACGAAGATATAACGGAATATGGGTGGTCAGAGATATAGGTCAATTTCAAAATGTTGCCAATAACACTAGTCAACACAACAATTAGGCTGTGGCTCAAAATTACTTTTTCTAATAGATTTCGGGACTGACAAATTTTTGTGGTACGTTATTTTTTTTTAAGGTTTAATTTTTTTTTTAAGAATTTTTTAAATCTGGATTTTTCTTCATCTTTTTTTTCAGAGGTAGAGAAGCACTACACATAACTTAAGTATCTTATATCTGGTTGCATAGAACTTTGCAGTTCTGAAAAGCTGACGAATGCAGCTATAAATCCCACCCAGACACTGTATCTTTGCATCTGCAGCTTTACGCCTTGAAGATATTAAGCTTTCAAATTCAAATTTCTTAATTTTCTGCGATATTTTTTTTCAAAATTTCGACTATAAAAACTCGAGAAAAGTCGAAAAATTCTTGGCCAACATTTTTAGCTTTAGATAGACGCATTAGTTAAGCGTCGTTTAAGGTATTGTTCATTAAAATCTATGGATAAACGGTCTACTTGCAGCCGTTTGGCCAAAACGACCACACCCTAAAAAAAAGTTCAATTTTGCTAGTAGTGTAATTCATAGAAAATAAGCTCAAAAGCTATAATTGTTTGAAACATTTAATATCTAGTTGAATATCCACGATTTTCATTAGCGGCGTTACATCTAAGTCCCATACTCTCTACAAGCTTCTGACATCTTTCCTTCGGAATGGAGTTCCAAGCTTCTTTGACACCTTTCCACAAATCTTCAAGATTGACAAATTTATTTTCTGGATATCATGACCTTAACATCATTCCATAGATGTTCTATTGGATTTAGGTCAGGGCTTTGAATCGGCCACTCCAGAACTTCGATGGATTCGTCCTTCAACCACTTTTTAACGACGCAAGATATGTGCTTTGGGTCGTTATCGTGTTGAAATATCCATTCCACAGGCATATTTTCAAATGTAAATGGTTTCATTTGATTTTTGAGAATATCAGCATACATGAAACGATCCATTATGCCATTGAATCGGTAGAGCGGACCCACACCATGCCAGGAAAATGCACCCCAACACATAATGCATCCGCCACCGTGCTTCACGGTCTTCATTATGTACCTGGGGTTAAGAGCTTGGCCTTCTGTACGACGAAAGGTTTTGCCATCGGATCCTACTTTATTTATCTTAGTTTCATCGCTCCATAGCATATTTTTTCAATAATTCAGACTCTTATCCCGGAGGATCCGTACGAAACTCAACCTTTGTTTGATGTTTCGTTTTGACAGGAATGGCTTCTTCCTGCTGATGCGTTCAAAGAGCGATGCTTCGTTCAGTCTTCCAGCCACTAGTCTCCTTGACACATCCGCACCACATTCATCATTAATTTCCTTCATAATCTCTCGAGAGCATTTAGGAGAGGGTCCGCTTTGCTCTTCCGCACTATAAGCCTATCCGTCATAGAATCATTTTTCTTGGCTTTTTCTTACGATTTTTTGTATCATTCAAATAAGTTGGGCTTAACTTCACTAATTCAAGTGCAATGTATACCATCTTTCTGGAGTATTTCATTATTTCGGCTATTTCAGACCGTTTTCTTCCTGATTCACTTAGTGTGAATATAATCTTCCCTTTTTCAACTGAGCAATGCCTTCCACTAGAGTTGCAAAAACATCGATGTTTGCGTACCTGTTTTTCGATGTTTTAAAAAAAAACCTCGATATTAACGATATATCGGGATTTAAGAAATGAAAAAAGACAATTATATTATATTATATATTTTGTACCAAAAAAAAAAAAAATTAATGAGATCCATAAACATAAAAATAAAAAAAATAAAACAAAAAAACATATTTCATATGTTTTGCTTAAAAAAAATCAATATCTGGCTTAAACTATATATTGGAGATCCATTCGTTTCTATTTAGAAAAGTGAGCATGTCGACATGCTTTGCATCTAAAGCGCTGCGTTTCTCACTTAAAATATATCCAGCCTTACTAAACATACGTTCGCTTTCTGTGGATGTTGCTGGAATGCACAGATACTTTTTGGCCAAGAATTGAAAAGTTATGTCGCTAGTATCACGCTGAAAATAAAATAGTTTTATAATTGACCAAAAATACAAAACTTTAATAATACCATCTTCCAAAATTCCAAGGCATCAGAGCTTGAGTCTATATTTCTTGTATCAAAATATTCTCTTAAAATGAGCGTAGCATTTTTTGTTGGGTTTCGGTTACTTCGTACTTTTTCAGCTTTACTTCTTTCCAGAAACTCAAAAAGCGGTTTGTTGATTTTCGGTGATGGTGTTGACGGTGCCAAATCTTCAAGAAAAAGTTTGTGTTGTTCCTTGAGGAAAAATCGTGTTGACTAGTGATATCAAACGACATTCATAATAGTATATTACTTACCCTTTTTGCTTAAACCTGATAAAAACTTGTTCATCCCGTCACCATCAACACCAACACATAAAACTCCAACAACACTCTTAGAACAAATAAAGATTAAATAAAATAAATTATTTGTTTGCACAATGTTTACCTTTTTATTGTGCAGCAAGATATGGTAAACTTTTTACGACTATCGGGGAAAAAACCTCGATAGTCGAATCAGTGAAGTCGCCATCGATACTATCGATAGTGGCTCGATGTTTTTGCAGCTCTACCTTCCACGACCCATTTTAGCACGTTTTCAATAAATTATATCAATTCGTTACCGAAATATTGAAAATCAAACAAAGAATTCTGTGAAAACAACTTTTTAGTCGAAATAAGCTGCCGCTTCATCAAAATGTGCTATTTCTGTGACCATGCAAAAAAGGTACACACGAACGAAAATTAAGCATAATCAAAAGAGAAAAATGATAACGATACATTTTTTGCCTGTATATCATGTGGAAGAGTGCACTAATCGATTGTGATCAAAATTTTTATAATCGTATGTAAAATATTGTCCAAATGATCGATCGATATATTCTGTTTTGGTTTGTGCTATTTTTATGACCACAGCTGTATAATATTTTAGTTTTAGTTTAAAAGTATATTAGCATATAAAAGTTATACAAAATTACAGGTTTTCTGATATCATGGGACAAGCTTCGTCAAAAAGTGTCATAATACTCAAAAATCATAAGGTTAAGAGTATGTGAACTGAAAAGATAAAATCGATGCAAAATGTGAACAGAAAAACGTATAACCAATACTAGCACAGTATGTAGGAATACGTGACACACACAAATTTACGCAACCTGGAACCTCCAGACGGTTATTTCTTCGGCAACTAAAAATTATTCCACGCATACAACCATATATTTTGGAGTGTTACACGAACACACATACATGCTTGCTGTCAGTCGACTCGTGTCACGTCATGAGCCGAACGCGGTCGATCCCAGAGCCGAAGACCTGGGACCGTACGCTGAAACTTCAGCTGCGCCACTTTCGTTGTATGAACTGGCACATCTATATACTGTATGGTTACTACATTTGTTTCGTCATGTCATCGTCTTAGTCAATGTTTTATGTTAAGATTATTTTTGAATTCTTTGAAGTCTAGTGTAAGGGCATGGCGGGAGCGCAATAAAAGTTCGCTTTTTCGCTCAAGGCGAATTCGACCCGCTTTGTCACCGTAGGTTAGCAAGGCATAGAACGAATTGTAATGAATTTAGAATATAATCGTTAAAATTGAATTCGATCGAGGGCACCGAGAACTTCTTTCGTCCTGCATTTTTAATAAAAGTTTACGCAACCCAAGTATTTAGGCCTTTCGCATTTAGAAAAACTATTATAAATTTTCAACTTTAACACAGGGATATCCTAGCAATATAAGCGATGACATAGTACGCGAGCACTAACCGATTTATAAGTGATGAAAAAGTAAAGCCTTATTAAGCCATGAATTTCCATAAGAAAGTAAAGCCTTAATAAGCGATGAATTTCTCAAAAAAAGTAAGGCCTTAATAAGCGATGAATTTCCTAAAAAATAAGGCCTTAATAACACTACTCGACAAAATTGAACTTTTTCTTCCCGCTGTGGACCAAAATAACTTTTACTGATAGATTTCGTGATTTTAAAATTTGTATAGTACTATTTTTTTTTAATGTTTTTTTTCAGAGGTAGTGCTTCTATTTTACACATAACTTAAATATCTTATATCTGGTCGCATAGAACTTTGCAGTTCTGAAAAATACTGACAAATGCAGCTATAAATCCGACCCAGCCACTTTGTAGCTGCAGCTTAACGACTGGAAGATATTAAGCTTTCAAATTCAAATTTTATCATTTTGTTGCGGCATTTTTGTCCGAAATTTTGACTTTGACTCAGGAAAAGTCGAAAAGGTACGTTGCTGGTCCAACTTCCCAAATGGGATTGAAGGAAACAAAAGGGACCTGTAATTTTAGTTTTACAAAGTCCTAGGTATGAACAGTTATTTCTACTCCAACCAGATATTCAGGGCTCTTAATGTTTCTTTTGTTCATTTAAAATAACTGGAATCGGGAGATCCATGAAATGGGGTTACCCGAAACAACCTGGCGTTATGCTTCCTGCCCTTCCCTTAGTAGAAATACCGCCATTAAAACGCAAAAAGAGGAGATGTCGTCTTCGTCGCATGGAACAACGGATTCAAGTAATGACCAATCAGGAGATTATGAATATTGCAAGCCTCTTTCACAGGAACAATTGAACGATTTGGTAGGCGTTGACAGCTGTGAGGAAAGTTTAAAGGATGTTTTGTAACACAATGGAAACCAAAAGCCCTCTTTGGCTAAAGCACTGTGTATGAAAGGTGAATCGATGAGTTACCCAAAAACTGTTTTTCCACGTCCGTCGCTGGCAAAAGTTAAAGAAGGCGTATTTAATGGTGATAACGTAGTGATCACGTTAATATCGTTCACGGACTAATAAGGAATTTTGAAAGAATTGGAGCCAACTTGTCAATAAAAATCCATTTCCTGCACTCCCACTTGGACTTTTTTTCGACAAACCGAGGGGACGTTAGGGATAAACACTGAGAGAGATTTCACCAACAATTAAAAGCTATGGAACGACCGTATCAAGGTGTTTGGAATGAGAATATGTTGGGCGACTATGTGTGGACTCTCATAAGAGAATCTGATTCGAATGACAAATGAAGACAGCCACAAACCTTAAATTATTTTAAGAACAGTAACAAGCAGTAGAAAACCAAATTTATCACATACGTTTAAAAACAACCAAAAAAAGTAACTGTCAAAAACATTAAATGCCAAAGGTACCGTTCAGGTACCAAAAATACAACCCCTTTTCGTTTGGTTTGTTCCCAATAGGCAGTTGCGCCCGCAACGTTCCAAAAGTATTTTTTGTCTATTTTTTTAGGTTTGGTTAACGAATTATAGCTCCACCGTCTCTCCATACATTTTAATGAACAATATCTTAAACAACGCCTTATTAATGCGTCTATCTAAAACTAAAAATGTATGCCAAGAAATATTTTTTTTTCTACTTTTCCTGAGTTTGTTAAATTAAAATTCGGGATAATATACCGAAAAAAATAATACAATTTTAATTTAAAAGCTTAATGTCTTCCAGACGTTAAGCTGCAGCTACAACGTGTCTGGGTCGGATTTATTGCTGCATTCTTAGTTTTTAGAACTGCAAAGTTTTATTCAACCAGATATAAAATACTGTATGAAAAATAGAAGCACCACCTCTGAAAAAAAACATAAAAAAAAAACGAGAAGGAACGTGTGAGTCGCTTCTGGGGACGCGACTCTACTTATACCCGTACTCAGTCAGTATATACATTTTTGAGCATATGATTTTTTAGAGTTTTAGAATTAAAAAAAAAAATTTTACATTTTACTTTTTTTTGCTACGTCTTTTATCTACATCTACATATATTATGTATATTCTACATCTAACATGTAGATTATACATGTACCATTTAGATTCTACATCTCCTCCGCTAGGGGTATGGTTGCGTCACTTGGAAGGCGCGGCAGAGAAGCAACTGAAAATGAATTTCTTCATTCTGGCTATAATTATGATCCGATCTAATTCAGATTCGGCAGTCTGGTAGATATGGGCATTCTCTACGATAATGCATTTTTTAGTTTTATCGTATCTTTAAAATTGTGCCTGCCACAGATTTTCGTTCTTTGTGTTGGCGGAAGGGGGCGGGTCGAAATTTTGAAATACATTTGTAGCAGTGTGATATCACATGAGTCTGGAAACCAAATTTGATTACCCTAACTCTTATAGTCTCTGAGATCCAGGCGCTCAACAAGACGGACAGACTGACGGACAGACAGACATGGCTCTATCGACTCGGCTATTGATGCTGATCAAGAATATATATACTTTATGGGGTTGGAAACGTTTCCTTCTCTGCGTTACACACATCCACTTTTACCACAAATCTAATATACACTTTAACTCTTTTTTTGAGTACGGGAATATACAAACTACGAATAATTTGGTATTAATAGCAAATTTCGAGGTCAAAGTCACAGTTTCCACAGGTGTAGTAAGCATTTTGTTGCATTTTCGAAATTCATTTTTTGTCATCAATTCCAAACACAGCAAGCAGAAATCTCGGTCTTCTTCTTTGAAAGTGGGTTCCTGACGCCGACGCTGCAGCGTGCTGTATTATGTTGGATTTTGCGATGAGCTTCCCTTTTTTTTCTCTCAGCACTTTTCTTTCCTGCCTCAAAAGGGAAGTTAAGATTGCTGACTTCATCGCCTTTCTGCCACGATTCGACTTCTGCTTTGCTGCAGCAAATTTGATCGGGCCAATATCAACTGAACGATTTGTGTCACATAAAACGCTGAACCGCTTCACCCCACTACAAGTGAACCGATTCACCACACTATGGTCATTTTGAAAACACGGCTGCCATGACAAGAACCCCCGATAGATATTTCATAAACACTTCATATATTTGAAGAACAACATTAAACCAACACGTCTGATATTTTTACCTTGAGTTTGTGTTAATTAGTTCGCATAAAACACAATAAATTCACTGCATTTATGTTTGAACGCTGCGCTACGGCGGTATCAATGAAAACTTTGCGGCAATGAAAGCATCACGTGACAGTATGAGATTTGGTTATATTTAAGCGCACTGTCAAAATTTCATAGGTGAACCGCTTCACCCTACCGCACTCTATGCATCTTAGAAAAAATAAGTTCACCCAATCCACTAGCTTTAATATCTACTGCACCGTAGGATTACCGTTGAGAAACCACACAAACGAAATAGACCCGTCCAATGCACAAATTGACAGGAATATGGACACACGAAAACTTATTGCACTCTACGGGCAGTCTGCGATTCCTGTGGGGATGTCCATCTCACTGAGGACTGCCCCGTAAATAAGGAAGACCCATCTGCCAAAAAATTTAGCAGCTATGGGGGAAACCATACTGCCAACTATAGAGGTTGTCCTTTCTATAAAGAATTAAAAATCAGCTTGACCAAGAAATAACTGCAAGCCCGTTTGTCCG